ATTACAATTTTTATTACTCTACAATGGCGGGCATTTAAATTAACTCCGTCCCGCTGCCACTACTGGAATTTAAATGGCCCGTCCCATAAAGGTTAAATGTATGCCTTTTCAATGTAATTCTGTGATATAAAAGTTCAACATCTTACTTATGAAGCTGAACACTCCTAATAATGGCAAAATTTCACTGAAACATGTCGCATGAAACTCCATAGAAGAGATAGTGATGTCTAGACCATGCCACCAAATGTATGTTTATGCAAATTCAGAAATAAGAAAAAACCACTCACTAGTGTGGAAATTTTGAGAAAGTCCTCTCACAAAAGTGATTGATATTGCTACATTTAACATAAACTGACATTGCATAAGAAAATGCTTATTACAATGAGTTTTTCATTGTATCAGACTGTAACTGTGCAAAGAAAATGTCTCCAGAACTTACAGCATTTGTACAATTCCTGTCTCCTACACTAACATATTATTTTGAATATAAGATGAACATTTTACACAATTTTTCCCGTTGAAAAACTGAGGTGAGTCTCAAATTCGAGGAATGCACACGTTTCTAATTTTGCTCCTAAAACTCACATTCAAAAACTGGATGTGTTTTATATTCAGCACCATCTTATATTTGAAGTAATATGGTATATCACCTGTCATACACTTCACTTTGCTTCATACAAAGATGCACACACAACACACTACTGAAACTGCAATGTTTTTTCCCAATGAGCACGGTGTCGATGTTTCACAAGACATGACCTCTGACTAAATGATTTATTACATATTTCACAAATAAAAGGTTTTTCACCTGTATGAACTCGGCGATGTTTAGACAGAGCAGCATTGTCAACAAATCCCTTATTGCACATGTTGCACTTATAGGGCCTTTCCCCAGTATGAGTCCGTTTATGTGTCGTAAGAGAACCACTTTGTGCAAAACGTTTATTACATATTTTACACATGTATGGTTTCTCCCCAGTATGGATACGTTTATGTTTCACTAGGTATACTCTTTGTGCAAAAGTTTTACAGCATACATCACAACTAAACTCATTCTTTCCCGCATGGATTTGCTGAGGCAAAGGAAAATCACAATTATCTGAAACACTCTCAATACAGGTACTGCAACTGTATAAACTCTCCCTTCTGTGGGTGAGCTGATGAGCAACAAGATATATATTTTGTGTAAAATGTTTCTTACATATATCACAAACATAAGATTCCTCTATTTCATTGCAACTGCGTTTAATGAGATCAATATTACTTGAAGATCTGATGATGTCACCATCACTGATACAGTTTTCTCGCTCTCTGTTCAACTGCTCTACTCTGTAACAGAAAACAAGTTTCTGCAAATGTTCTCAGTGTAGCACAAAACGATGCAATTGTCAATATGATGTACCCTTGAAAAATGCTGCTCCACATTCGTGTTTCTGAGCAGAAAATTATTGAAAAGAACTGAAACTCATTGTACAGTAATTCTGAGCCTTTCTGCCTTGGATGACCACCTCTGTGGTCTAATGATCAAAGTTCCTGGCCACAGATTCCCAGTGCTGCCAGATTTTCTGAGAAGTAGTTGGCCTGGAACGGGTTCCACTCAGCCTCATGAGGATAATTGAGGAGCCATTTCAAGGAAATCACAACTCTAGTTTAGAAAACCAAGATTAACGGCCATGGCAATCTGTTGCGCTGGCCACATGACACCCTCTATCCACAAAAGTTGACACGAACTTCGCCAACAAGTGGTGGTCGCTCAGTCGGTATAGTTTGCTTGTGGACTACAGGCCTTGGAGTTTGTTTGTTTGTTTTTCTACCTTGGATAATATTTCTGACTTTTCTACCATATGCTATGGTTGTAGTCAGATTCCAAAATGGTCTCTGATAATGAAGCTTGTCATAAACATACAGCTGATCAAAAACCAATTGAGAATAATCACAGAAGTGCATCTGTTGACAGAATCACAGCTGGATGCTTGGTGAAATTTGTGAATCATGACAAAGGAACGACTGCCTTCGTGATGAGCTATGCAGTGGTCACCCTTTACAACCAGATGATTGTGGTTAAGAAAATGAACCACCGTCAATTCTGAGGCACACACTCAATAGCTGAATGCAATGAGCTCAGCCCCAAAAGAAAACAGATGAATTCCTTCTATTGTGTTAGAACATGTGACATCACATGCCACTTTGAGAACCATAGCAATCAGAAAACTGTGATGAATGTGTAGCCCCATCCAACAGACAGCCCAGTAGACTGTCCATCATTTGAGTCTACAGAAGAATGCCATTCACGGACAGATATTTAAGGAACACACAGTTATCGCAGTAGCAAAGCACAGCTTATACAGACCGCAAAGAAGTTCTACCGAGCAGGAATACAACCCCTTGTTTCTAAGTGGCATGAAGCGATAGGGACAGATAGAGATTGTACAGAAAAACAGTATTTGTAACTAAGGTATAAGAATTTGTACATCAGATTTTAGCTACTTTGTTAACTATATATGGGACAACACATTTTGAGTGACCCCCATGAAACAAATGTTACTCAGTTTGACACAGTCAGTGTTGAAATACAACCATGCTCACCTCTCCAACAACATCCCACAGTCCCCTGTTATAACTTCATGATCACTTTCATTCTTCATTGTAGCAACATCCCATGATTCCTCCTGGAATACAATACATTCAATTACCATGAAATTCAGTGAGCTCCGGGGCCTATACATATCAAGCTGACCAGTAAATTAGTTCAGAAACAGATATAAAATGGCACTTTATTCAATAATGCTGTCACTAATTCAGGTTATACAGGATCGGATGATTGGGTGACAGGAAATAATAACTAGGAAGAGGTGGTGGTCTGATGTAAGGTAGCATCTGAGCATCTGCCTGAAGGAAATGAGGAAAACTATGAAAAATATCAATCAGGATAGTGTCGCAGCCAACATTTGAACTAGGCACCCCCTGAATACATGTCAGAAGGGTTACTATTTGAGCACCTTGTTCTGTAGCAGTTATATGGCTACATTCATATTTCTATGATGGAGATCCTACGCTAGTGCAGATCAATATTGAGGACATCTCATGGTCACACTGTTCACTGTCCCACAGACTGGCCTTCAGGGACATGTCCACTTAGAAGGACGTTCAATCTCAAGGTAAAATCTTGTTTTTCATCCCAAAGCATTAGGGTCAATATGCTATGCACTATATGGACCAAGAGGGCCCTCTATTCAGTGAAAGAAGAAACAAGGAATAAGACATACAATATAGACATTTGTTCAGAAGTACAGTAAACTCTGTTATCCACTTTGGCACTTTAGAACCTCTCAGTTTTCTGTAACAAAGTGTTGCCCATTGCATCTGTTTCATTAATATATATCAGTCATGCTTTACTGTGATCTTCAGTTGCAACTTACTGTCTTATTGCTTTTCACCTGTTATCCCTGCACAATGACGAATTTCTACCATTGCAAATGCATTTCTTTCTACTGTTTGGTGGTTGGTAGCATGACCAGTAGAGATTCTACAGGTCATCGCAGGTTTTTACTTCGCACAGAGTTCATTAGATACCGGTATTTGGTTATCTGTGGTTTTGTAACTATCCACGTTACTTCTCTCTATTACAGCAATTAATTGAGGAATCGCTGTACATGTATTTAATTCCATACAACATATTTCTTGTTATTCTCTGAAGGTGTGTCATTAATTAAAAAATTATTAGTCATATTTTAAAATTATACAGTGTTTCAGAAGCTGAATCTGCTTTCATCATCAGGTGTAAAAGGGGGGAGCAATTCTCATTTGGGCCCATGCAACAGAACTAGTTCCGATCACAGGCCCAACTGACTAGGATTCCTTCCCCCATTTTACACCTGATGATGGAAGCATATCCAGTTTCTGAAACATTGTATAAACTGTAAATTTAACTAGGACAGTAGACAATGTTTAATATAATTTTACAATATTTCTTGTTAGTTCAAAACTCTATACAAACTACATGGCCTGTAGTCCACAAGCGAACTATACCGACCAAGTGACCACCGCTTGTCGGCAAAGTTAGTGCTAACTTCTGCGGATAGAGGGTGTCACATGGTCAGCGCAACAGATCCCCATGGCCATTAATCTCGGTTTTCTAGAACACAGACGCTATTTCCTTGAAATAGATCCTCAATTATCGTCATGATGCTGAGTGGACCCTGTTCCAGACCCACTAAGAAAATCTGGTAGCGCCAGGAATCGAATCCAGGACCTCTGGATCTTTAGGCAGGAACTCTGACCACTAGACCACAGAGGCGGTCGCTAAAAACTCTATCAGTGACCACAAATATATCTGTGCCATGAATAAGATTACCAAAAAAATCCGAATGACACAAAAATACTTTACAGACTATATAGATGTGATTAAGTAGTACAGAATGTTTTGCAACAGCCTACAATTTACACACAGCTACCACACCTCAATATAGTGTAGACTGAAATGATGCTGAAGCTTTTGGTATGAATTGTTTCGACTTCTGTAGTAACTTCAGTTCACTACAAGAAATAATTTAATTAAAAGGTTTATAAAAATCCATAAAAGAAATGTATTTCTGGATTAAACAAGGGAGTTTAGTAATCATAAATGTAAGACCCACATAAAACTGTGGGACTAATAAAGGAAAACATGACACCATCTAGAAGAATATAAAGAAATGTAACTCACACTGACTTCAGTCTTTCATTTCATTTTTTCATTTCATTTATTTACATGTCAAAAATCCTTTACAAGGTCGTAAGACTCAGGATATAGACAATAGTCCAATATAACAATTAAATATAATAATTACAAAAAATATAATACATGTTAAAATATTTATGCAAACACAATTTTAAAATTATAAAACTTGTAATTTAACTTTTCACCAATTAAGTATTTAATCCCAATAAAATCAATTATCAATCTTCTTAACCGTGTAATCAAAAATTTCATCAATACCATAAAATGAATGTAAATGGAGAAATTGTAATAGTTCTTTCTTGAATCGATTTTTGTTTTTGGATAACTGTTTTATTTTGCGTGGAAGACTATTATAAATTTTGATTCCAAAATACTGTGGACCTTTCTGAAATGCTGTTAGATTTGATGAGGGGAGATGCAAATTTGAACTATTTCTTGTTGCAGTTGTATATATATCTGAATTTTCTACAAATAAATCCATATTATTAACTACAAACATCATCAAAGAATATATATATTGAGAAGGCAGTGGTAATATTTTCAATTGTCTAAAGATTTTTTTACATGAATCTCTGTTTCCAGCTCCCACCATTATTCGAACAGCTCTCTTCTGCAATTTAAAAACGCACATACTGAGAGTTCTATTTCCCCAAAAAATCAAACCGTAAGACATCACTGAGTGGAAAAAGGCGTAATACACCATTTTAAGGGCATCAATATTTAAATACTGTTTGGTTTTCCTAATTATATAACAGGCTTTATTTAATTTACCTATAATTGAATCTATATGCCCTTTCCAAGATATTGTGTTATCCAGTGTCATACCCAAGAATTTTACCTCATTTGACTCTAATAGAATTTTGTTTCCATATTCAATATTTAATTTTTTGGTAAAATTATGTTTAGCTGAGAAATTTACACAGCAAGTCTTGCCTAAATTTAATGAAAGCATATTTGAATTAAACCATTCATTCATCGATCTAAACACTGTAGTAAGTTTTTTTTCCAGCTGCATAAAATTTAATTCATTTACTATTACACTTGTATCATCGGCAAGGAAATTCTTCCAATTTCATGCTTATCAGATCCTCACTGAGGGGAGGGGATGAATAGGTCTCACTGTCTGAACTGGGTTCTGTTTTGATTACATCAATACTGGGCTGTAAGAGGAAAAATAAATTATCTGCATGAATTAGTCTAACATGGTCATCCCCTGAACCAATTCCATTGCATCAGCAGTTTTTCTAATTACATTCAATGGCTGTTTAATAAATTAGGCAGTCAGATGCTTACTTCTCACCACGAAGTCCCCAGGTTCAATCCTGGGTAATTTCATGTGAGATTCATTGTGGATGAAGTGGTACTGGGACAGAGTTATGTCCAAGTATCTTTGGTTTTGCCCTACTAATCATTATTCCACCATTCCTCCATATTAATTTATCACCACCCTTTGACATGTGCAACAGCCTCGACCAGGCAGCACATTATGACATCCTTGATCTTTAAATTGGAGGCTTCATCTCTGATCTGCAACTTGGCTGGCTACAGAATATGAAGTTTTTTTCATGGCACAATTTTAAATTTCTTTGAGGGCATAACTGGTCTGGTGCAGGTAAGATCTATGATACAACCATCATCAAAAACTTGTGGTCCAAGCTTCCTTACATATTAAACCCCTTATGGAAAGTTACCCCATCTGTTAACCTACTCCAGAATTTTTCACTATGTTACCCTGGCCACAAACCCTAAAATTTTATAATCCCTGAAGACAGATTATTCTGGTACTTGACAGCTCCAGAAACTGGGATTCTTGGAGTTCTTGCACTCCCCACCATATTTTATAGGCTCCTACAGAGCAGAAATTTCACTTTTGTTGCAATTTATGCACTTCTAGAAGGAACTGAAATTTTAATAATTTTACTTGGTTCTTCACATTCATAACAACTTACTGAATACAAAACAATTTATAAATTCCCATATAACTTTAAGGCCAGCATAAATTTAAAGAGATTAATAAATGCTCAAGAGAGATAATGACACCACCTTGAAAAAGACAAAAGAAATGTTAACTCACATTAGCTTCAGTCTTCATTACTGCCACAGGCAACTCTTCATTGAGGGGAGGTGATGGAAAGGTTTCACTGTCTGAATTGGGTTCTGTTTTGATTTCTTCCATAGTGGGCTGTAATAGAGAGAAGGAAGTTATCTGCACTGGTTTCTCTATCATGGTCTTTCCACCTCAGAACAATGGACCACTATATTACCCACTTTTGCAGTGGTGTACACATTATGTTAGTATACATTAAAAGATGCTTTGTAAACAAACACTTGTAAAATAGGGGGGGGATACATGCTACTGGATTCAAATTCGGAATATACTGGCCAAAATTCGAGCACCTGCAGTCAATCCGGCTTTACCGGATTCTTTTGGTCTTGGAAGAAAAATCGTCGATCTGGTACACACAAGGCCACCTTACTCATTTATTGATGGAAGATAATTTATTTACATTCCTTATAACCTTCAAGGTTATACGCCGAGGGTGTGGATCATTAAGGACTTAAATGATCCATGACAGACAACTGTTACACTTTCTTCGGGAGTATAATTCGCTCCTACTACCGCAAAGGCCATGAACAACCTATGGATCGAATAAGAAAAACTTTGATGCATTAGGGGAGTTTGACAAGTTACAACTGTTATCTGAAATGAAGTTCTTTCACTCTCAGTGAAAATACTTCACGAATATCCTGAAGTTGGGACATTTTTAACAGGTCGTAATACACCTGCAAACCATTTCAACAATGCTCCACACAAATTATATATGGAAGAATGGTATCTAAATCCTAACCTCACAAAATTTCTAACTCCATTACATTGACGTAGCACGCTGTAGGGTAGAGCGGGTAGAGGGTAGAGTTAATAGTACGTCAGAGAAATGGCGTCGCTACCGCATAACCTTTAGGAAGCCCATGGCACAGAGTACTTTCCCGACTGAACCTATAAGTTACCATGGATGGCGTCCGCCTGTTCCCGTGATTGGAAACATTGGAAAGGTGCAATTTGATTCGTTATTGTTTTCGGCAAATATTACTGGTTTGAGCGGTATGAGTATGTGGTTGGAGTTGTAGAGTGCATAATAATATAAATCACCTACGACTAATGAAGTTCTCTTTTGATAATAATAGCACAAATAAGTGCAAATAGTATCAGATAATGGTTTGCAGGTAAGGAAGTGTTGTTATATATAAAAGGAATTATTTAAGCTTCGATAGAACTGACAGTGGCCTGCCCACGCCTCCGGATCACGTTTTCCTGTACGTAGGTGAATGTTATGCTGTTGACTTGTTATATAATGTGTTAGGGTGTAGTGCCTTCGGTACGTTGCTGTGTAGAAATAACTACACTGGAACCCCCCTGCATCCCCACCTGAGGGAAAGTTAACAGCTTGCTTTGCACTTTGTGGTGCTGCCTCAGTTCTTAGGGCAGTTTAGCGTAAGGGGAGTAGTTGAGATTCCTCTTACAGATTTTTACTCATTGTTGACAGGAGTTTGATGGCATCTCACTGGAACATTGCAATTCATCATGATGATGAATTTAGCCAGCTGGAGCAAGCAGTTTGAGTGTGGACTCTTGTTGTGGGTTAGTCTTTTGCAAATTGAAAATCTATGAATTCATATTTTGATTGGATAATTTACTTGCATGGAATGGGTGAATGTTAATGAGCTATCAAGTGTATAGTAAGCAGTGCTGCTGAAGATGGTAAATATATTGTGCTCGAGAAATGAATATTGTTTACATATTCTTTATTATTGTTTCCTGGTATGGGCTGGCACCACTGAAAAAGTTCTGTTCGCCATGGTGAACGACACTCTTTGGTGTGAAGTGAGCAAGGAGCATTCCCATTATATGTCACCTGTGAGGAGCTTGAGTTTTTACCAAGTAAGAAGCACTGAAGATCCCTTCCCATCACACAGCTATTGCACACCAATCATGAGGTGGCCCTGTAGCGAAGGTGAGTCTCATGTGAGAAGGCCATCAACATGATACAGATTGTATGTGAATTATAATTTGTTATTGCCGGAGAGTTTGTCATAATTATTTTTATTTGTTGGCAGCCCTGGAGGGACATCAATGGAGGAACTGCAGTCTCAGCTGGCAAAAGATGTGATTGGGTGTAGGCTGAACAAGGAGGTTCAGGGAAGGGCCCTTTTCCCTCCTTTCATGCTGCATTGCATCTGTAATGAGGATGTGTCACCAGGCGCCAGAAGCAAGGAGTCTGTGAAGCAAAGGTGTGTGTGTTGCCTCAGAAGCAGTGAAGGTTTATATTGTGATCTTCTGGGTCAGTGCACCGTGTAGCATGACGGGTGGCTATCGGCCTGGAAGTTGGAGGCAGTTACGTTACTCTGAAATGCTGGTCTTTCTCCCATAGGACTGCGCAATACCCCATGCAGCTGTGTCAGCCTCCATGCATAGTGAAGCTCTGTTAGGTTGAGAGTTTGTTATGTCAAAAATAATTATATTGAAAATTCATAGCAAAAAGTTTCTGATATACTGAAATGTTATCATTTGAAATGGTCCCATGCCTTATATACTTACATGAATGTTCTGGAAGCATTTTATACATTCTGTCGTGAAGTGTTACTGTTTGTTCACAGATGTGGAGAGATCAGTGGAGAAATAAATTCCTGTATCAAATGGAAGGGGATGTCATGACATTCAGATGTAGTAAGGATGCAGTGAAAGGTCCACGCATGTGGAACGTGTACAACAGCGGTTCTTAACCTTGTTTATCCCGTGCCCTTTCTTATAGGATTCTCTTCCATGGGTTTGATAGTATTTTTGGTCAGAGTGTTAGTAACTGTTCATATAAATGAGACCATTGTCCAGTCAGACATTGGATACACTGCACTTGAACTGCAGAGTCCAGAAAGAAAAGCAGAATTGCATTACAAACAAACAGTATGGAATGCCAACATTGGTATTAAGCAGACTTGTAGAATGAATATAGAAGCAATCTTAAGCCAGAGAACAAGAAGAGAAAGTCAGAAACAAATACAGATCATTAACTTGTGTTCATACGTGAAGAAATAACAGATTCACATGGCATGAGTTTGTCTTTGTAGCGTCTGCTGAGTTCACTGGTTGAAATCCAACTTGTTGCATTTTGATTTTGATACACAAGTCACAGTTGAGAAGTTTGCTTTGTTTTGGAGGACATTTCCTGATTGTTAGTTTGTAAACAGTTTTAGGCAAAAGTGATTTGGGGTCAGAAATGCCTTGTACCCCACCCCTCCCTGGTTGGGCACACCTCACGGAATAAGAACCAACAGCCTGCAGCAAGAACACCCTGCCCGCTTTACACCATCTGTGAGGCGTCTGCACTGAAAGTACGTGTCACTTCAGGGGCTTGTTACTATTGCTGCACAATATCTAAAGCTGTGCAGTGTGTCAGGTTTGTTTGGGGCTGCGTTAATGTGCAGGAAGGCACGCCATAGCTCAAGTGGTTAGTCGCTGGCTTCCCACTGCAGTGGCCCAGGTTCGATACCAGGTCTAGTCAAATGGGATTTGTGGTGGACAAAGTGGCACGTGCAGGAAGAAGCAGGACAGGAAATATGATGGCTTTATTTACTCTGTAGCCTCTGTGCTTGAGAGATTAATGTAAGTAAGAAAGTTGGATGCCCTGTGAAGGATGTTTGTTCTTGTTGACAGAAGTTTTTCCAACGATGTCATTGTGTCTGGGCTGAACAAGGAGGATCTAGGAAGGCACCAAGGAGGCTGCTGGCTTCAGACTCAGAAAGGGTAAGCAGAAAATTCTCCCCTACTTACCGTGCATCAACTGCAAGGTGTGTGTCATATCTGAATGTAATTATGGGGTGTTGTGGGGAAATTGACATTGACATTGACCTGCTTTATGGAACCCCTACTTAAAGTTCAGTTTCAGTGACCCCAGGTGCTCGGTGCTTGAAGTCCCGTCTTTTTAAGATTTCGTGAGTTTGCTGTTGAAATGAACTTCTCACCAAAGAAGCCTTAAATACAGGTTTCATAGTTATCACATACACAGTTTGAACTTTATCGTGGTAATGGTTTGTCATGTAAAGGGGACCAGTACAAACAAACTCCGTGGCCTGTAGTCCACAAGCAACCTATAACGATGGAGAGAACATCATTTGTCGGCAAAGTTAGTGCTAACTTTAGCAGATAGAGGGTATCATGTGGTCAGCACAACGCGTCCCCATGGCCTTTAATCACGGGTTTCTAGACCAGAGCTGCTACTTTTCCATTCAAGCAGCTGCTCAATTATCCTCATGAGTTGAGTGGACACCGTTCCAGACCCACCACTTCTCAGAAAATCTGGTAGCGCCGGGAATCGAACCCAGACCTCTGGATCTGTAGCCAGGAACTCTGACCACTAGACCACAGAGGACCAATACTGCTTATGAACAGTGGTTTGCAACCCTGTAGCACATCATGCACAGTGATAGTCTGATTTGCAGAGATAATTTTAGTACAGTCAACTCTCGATTATCCGGGCTAATGGTGGGGATGNGAACTACGTAATTGATGCATATTTTTTAAAAAATTTCTTGACTAAAGAGTTGATCGGGATCATTTCCAAGAGGAATTACAGAACTGCCATAGTCATATGAACATCTCTTTGACACGTACAGTAAAGAACAAACTGGATAGGCCTTACTGGGAGTTAATTGGTAACAAAAGACATCACACTTATTTATTCATAAGTTTTCTCTACCCCATGCTTCAGTTTCCAGAAGGGATGTATTCTTGAAAAATGTTTCTGTGTACTGAAGGTCTGTAATGCAAACCCTACTATTCCACAGATGGCCATGTTAGAAGTGAAGATGTATTCCTACACAAAATATGTGGGCTCACTTTCTGCGCTCATTTAGCTGAACCACTTGCAATTGAACTTGATGCACAGTAGGATGAGAACAGTTATCGTGCTACGTTACTGATACGTGTGTAGCCATGCATATGACCTGGTACATCACCAATCCATATGCATATGCAGTTTGAATTTGTTTGCATTTTGTGTTTAAGAGCATTGATATTTATCCCAAATTTCTCTAAGGGTGAAATAACTGTCTTTAGGACAGATGTCCATTTTTTGCTCTTTGCATTTTACCTCCATTTTGCCACTTTCAGCTCAGGTGAATCATTCCCTATATCTTCCAGCCATCTAAGTCTAGGCCTTTACATTTTCTTCTGCCATATGGCATGCTTCAAAATATTTCTTATCCATCCTTTTTTGTTCCATTATAATTACATAACCGAATCACTTCATCTTGGTGCAGTCCTTTCTGACAATGCATCTCTTGCATAGCAGGTCATCATCCTGCTGGCAACAGTCACTCTTCCAGGATCCACAATAACCCCATGTCCTTCCCTTCAGCTTCTGGTGGCCAGATTCTGGTCCCTGCGTTGCCTCCTCTGTCCTTCATCCAGTTTCACTACATCTTCCTTAGGGACCTCCAAATGTTCCACTTCAGGTTCCAAGTCCACTGAGGTTGGCTTCTCACATTCCAGATGTGCCTCCGTTGTTTCTTGGCAGGCTGTCATCTCCTTTTGCCCGTCCATCATGTGCACTATCCAGGCATTAACTATGGATCTCTTTTCCGCTTGGCCAGATTGAATTTCCTCTCTTATTTCATTTAGATTTACGTCCATTTTTGCCTGGTTGGCCTCTGTCCAGGAGATGAGGGAAGCCAGCTCTTATCTCTTCCCAGTCGGTTTTTCTGTCAGCCTCTATTCTGGAGACTGTAGAACCTGTCTGACTCTCCATCATTTCCTTCATGTCTTCTTGATCAGCTTTCTTACTGGCATCCATCTTTGCCTGACTGGTTCTTATTTTGGCCTTTATTTCGGCCAGGAGGTGTTCCATCTCCACAGTGTGGCGATATGCTACCCGATGCAATCGTTAATCCTGTAATCTGATTGAAGTGGCTCAGGATATGATCCTGTGACAGTCTTTATAAAAAGAGCGTTTGTTAATTTCATGGTCTGTTCCTTAACCAAAGTGCAAGGTGTTGACTTGCTTTTAGATAGCTGAGAGGTTCATTGGTTACTGTTGTTGTGGTGGTAATGATGTTTAATGTTCTTGGCTTCTGGATGCCTCATTAGTGGTGAAGAATTACATTTCACAGGTGGTTTTGGTGTATCTAGTTGCATTCTTTCAACTGCATAGGTTTGTGTAAAATGGCAGGATGGGGGTGACAGAGAAATTACACAGGAAATGGTCATAGCATAATTTAAAGCAGTGTTCCAGGAGTTCCTGGAGTGATCGAGCAAAGCCTCAAGAGATCTCTAGTCATGCTAGCAAGAATCTGGTCTTGATGGTAGGTTGATAAGGAAGAGGCGGCACAGTCAAGTTCATATTGTCACTGTGCTACATTAAAGGGACCACCTCTATGGTCTAGTAGTCAGCATTCCTTGCTACAGGTCCAGAGGTCCTGGTTCGATTCCCGGTGCTACCAGATTTTTTTATGAGAAGTAGTGGGTCTGGAACGGGGTCCACTCAGCCTCATGAGGATAATTGAGGAACTATTTCAAGGAAATAGCAGCTCCAGTCTAGAAAACCGAAATTAATGGCCATGTGAATTCGTTGCGCTGACCATACAACACCCTCTATCTGCAAAAGTTGCCACTAAAGTTCGCCGACAAGTGGTGGTCTCTCAATTGGTATGGTTCGCTTGCGGACTAAAATCACGGAGTTTATTTGTTCCATACATTGTAGGAATGTGATAATTCTTGTGGCCATGATCATTACCAGAGAGGTAGGGTAGCTCTGGGACACTGGGGTGCTTTGCCCTCAAAGTTAAATGAGCTGAAGCATGAACATGATCACTGATCTCCATACTTCTTAGGAGCAAGCCATGCTGGGTGAATTTTGGGGGAAAACAGCAGTTAGTTTTGTCACGTCGATCTGCCTCTGAGTGTCCAAGGGACTGTACAGAATGGTACTGAGCCACTTTCTTTCATGTATTTACAGTTCATAACACCATCCACGTTTGCACAATACACATTGTGCTACTACTTATCCCTTTTGATATCAGATTGTTCTTAAATTAAAAATTTTCATAAACCATATTTTAATAAAAAGTATATGGGCAGGTTCTTTTCACTGTGGCCAGGAAGAGGAAGAGAGAAGACTTGGGGGGGGGGGGGAGAATGTGGTGCCAATGAGGACATTGGGAACTACAAGAAAGTAAGAGGAGACTTAATCAAATCAAGGCGGGTGAAATGGGTAGGTCATATAGCAGAAGACAAGAGCATACAGAATTTTGGTAGGAAGGCCTAGGCATATATGGGAGGATAATAATAATAAAACATTGGCATGTGAGAATGTGGACTGGATTCACCTTGTTCAAGACAGCAATCTTATTGGGCTTTTTTGAATGTGGAAATGAACTTCTGGGTTCTATAATATTCCAGAAATTCCTTTGACAAGTTAACTGTTAGCATCACAAGAAAGACTTGCTACATTTAATTAACCTTTAAATAGTGATAAGCTTGAGCTGGCCAGAATTTATTTAAATGCCCACTACTGGTGCTCGTTTAAATGTCCGTTCCTGTTAGGGCGCTTAAACAATTTTAAGCATTGCGTTTTAAAATGCGGTATCTAACAAAATTTTTATGATAAATAGATGGAATTAACTTTGATTGTATCAACAAAGAACTTAGTGTCACATATTATAACGGAAGATTTGAAAATTTTTATACAAAGAGTTATACTCTATTTTCAGTTTTTTTCTTTTAATTTTGATGCATACTGCAAAAATTGTTTCCCAGTTCAAGCAGATAACAACAAAAAAGGTATGTACATCGAATTTTACTATATATTTTTAACACATTAATCTGCAGAATCTGCAATAAAAGTACTGGTTTGTGCATGATTGTGGTTATGACTCACACATACTCTTTTTTGCTGTTGTTCACGTAGGTATCATTTTAATTCCTCTATTATGGTCTTACTCAAGTCTGTCTGGTAATTACTATATTTAAAAATATATATTTAGGACTGTGCATGTGCTTCTACTAGCGGTGTGTGCACACGCTTCCACTAGTGGAGTTTAAATGCCCAGCTGGCCAAAATGGGGTACTTTGGCCACAATGACCATACTCATCACTGGCCCGTTCGGGGCACTTCGGACGTTAAAGGTTAATGATTAAAATATATGTGTGCACAATTTTTAGGTTTGAGACTGCATATGACACTTCCCTGCATGAATTCTCGTAGTCCTTGGGAACTCTGATTTTGTGTTAATCAAAGTGTAGGGTGTGAGGTCTAACAGCGACCCCTTTCATGCTGGTTTCTTTTTTGACCCTGAAACGTCAGTTGACATTCAAGGGACTACATAACATCATGTCCCAGAAGACAGGATATAGTACTCGCATAAACAAGCAGCCAAGTCCCAGTGAACATGTCTTGAAATCAGTGCCTGTCGAGATAAGGGTGAGTGTTGCGTTTGTCTGGATACTAGGAGACTAGTGTGCATCATGTATGTTTGCTTACCTTTCCCTTGCATATGTGACTTGATTTGAAATCATGTAGTGGTTTTGTAATAGATTCAAATTACTCTGCTCGGGAATCACATCATCTGTATCTCAGCAGGAACTTTTTTGCTCATTCATATGAGTACTGTATCTCTTTAAAGCCTGTGATCCTTTTCTATCTAAACGGTGCTCACGGCAAGATGAATCTGATCACTCTCCTGAATCTAATGTCCAGTTGAAGAGAGAATCAAGGCACTCCGTTGCTGTGAAATACTGAAAATGTGTTGACACTGTTTTTTGTTTGTGCAGAGCAAGTGAACGCATCACAACCTGCCTGGATGAAAATGTGTGTGTGGATGGGGAGTTTGCAGAGGCAAGGTAATCAGTGATTTGCATTTTATAAAATTACCCCCCCCCCAAAAAAAAAAAATCCTAGGAGTTCCTTCATTATATTTGGAAGTTACATGAGACCATTTTCTAATTAGTGCTACAGAAACTGAAGTTGATGATATTAACTTTTTAAATGATGGAGCCCTCCTCCTAAAATGATCTTATTGTAGGATGTTGACAGCTGACCATCTTTAAAAATGAGAAGCCTTGGCTGGGAGAAATAGTTTAACTTCTTAAACAAATGGCTTAGGAGGCAGGAGAGCACAGTCGGTGTAGCTACTGGCTATGGGCTGGACAACTGAAGGGTCCAGAATTTTCTCCATGTTGTCCGTTCCAGCCTCCTATTCAGTGTGTACCGGGGACTCTTTCCCTGGGGGTGAAGCTGACATCTCCGAGGTCAAGAAAACTTGGGTCTATACATCCACTCTCCCATATGCTTTTATGGCGTAGCACCTTTGGAATGTAGGTGATCAACATCTTTACAATTTTAGCAGCATCTGAACATTATGTATTTACTCTTGCAAGACATCTCCCACTGAAATTAATCCTGTTGTAAACCAGTTAACACTGTGAAGCCAAGCCAGGATAGGTCAGTTGGTATAGTGATGTGTTATGAGCTGAAAGGCCTGGGTTCGATTCCCAGTCCAGTGGATAGTGAATCACCTTGATTTTGTGGTGCTTAATTAATTGAGCACAGGCTGCTTGTCTGTGTATTAGGACCATGGTATTTCTCATCAGATAACACAGAGGCAGTTTTGTCATTGCAAGAACATGAGTAATGTTTGGTATTGAAGCGCATTTATTCGTAACTGAAAAATCTTCTCTTACAGGACCATCTTTCAGAGTAACTTACTGACCTCCAACTTAAGTTACTTGTACAAGCTCACTGTATCACCGTAAACTTGCTGCAGGGCCAATAGCATCTCTGAAGCAGATTTTCCCAATTTGCACATGAACTTGATGTTCGCACGCTGTTCGAACTGCGACCAACACACACATCTAATTCAAACGGAACAGTAATGACACTGCACACTCAGACCTGTTGCACCTGTGAGCAGACAGACTGAGCTTCCCACCACAACAGTGTGTGCGCTATCTTATCGTTTGTTCTCTGTCTGCGGGTTAATTCCGGGAACTTTTTGACTGCCCTACATATTTCCAACTATCTGACTCCTCTCAGCTATCTTCAACGGATTCTCACAGCATATCTGACAGTTTTAACATACTGCAAGAATCCTCACAAGACAGCTGAGACAGTATATGCAATAAATAACTGTCCTGAAAAGCAACAAGAAAGAAGAATGGCATCTTCTGGGATGTGGCGCCATGTAGCTCTTGTGTGAGCTAGCATTTCAGATGAACATATCGTATCTATCTTCGTGGTAGAAAAATCTGCAAGCAGGTGGCTGCAGGCTACACCTGCTCAGGGATTTTTCTACTCCGAAGATGAAGGCAATATGTCCCTCTGAAACGTCAGTTCACACAAGATTTACAAGTTGCCACATCCCAGATGACAGAATTGTTCAGTCACCATGAAAACCTCAAACCTTATAACATGAAAGAACTTAGTTTACCTCCTCTTTTTGTGGAATTCTAGCATCCACATGCTGCACCATCTGAAAGCCTCCACACACAAATCCAGCACAGACTACAATCTGGCCTGCAATGCAAAATGGTAACAAATTATTGGGATGTACAATACAGAAAAATGAGTTTTATTTTTTTTAATGGCAGGGATTGAACCTAGGACCAACAGGGTGGCCCAGGAATTGTTCTTAACAGCCCATACTTCCTGCCTCATAGCTATGCTCAGTTGCCTGATGCCCTGTTCTAACAAATGCAGTCAGCTACCCTACCCTAGATGTGGCTCCCCCTGTGAATGGGAGTAGAGCCGTAATTATTAAATAGACAGTGTACAATATAATATTCAAACAACAATCTCATTTCGTTTCATTTCTGAGCTGGAACCACTGTTTGCCTCCATTCCATAATAACCAACCCTGCAGAGAAATCCAGCCGCCTACTCCCTTACAGCACTGAACTGGTTCATAATACACTTCATTACCTAGGGTTATGTATAGTACCTACCAAATGAGTTCCAGAAGCTGGCCTAGAAGAATGAACATGAGAGGCATATACCTGTGATACAGGGGCTCCTCATAGATGGTACACAACTGAGGAGGCAGATGCTGCACAATCCTTGCTCACCCAGAAAATCAACATACATTTTCTTCACTGACACCACTCCTGGACTGCCAATATACTGTAACAATTACCGTATTTACGCGTGTATAGGCCGCAGCACAATTTTCAGACAAATTATAGAAAAAATAATTTTCTTGGAATATTATTTCAGGAGTAGAACACCCTGTATTACTAATTATGAATATAATTTTTTTTAAATGAAGTGTGATTTCGAATATAAGCCGCACCCCAGTTTTCCTCTTGAATTTTTGGCAAAAAATGTGCGGCCTATACATGCGTAAATACGGTATGTAGAGCTCTACAAACTGTAAATCTGAACTCACTAAACAGGATGAAACAGCAGTCATGCACAGTGTTAAAAAGGAAGACCATCAAAAATACTGAACAGCACTGAACTGTGATGTTTGGTTTTCAAGACACACATCACTGTCAAGTGGCACAGACTGTCCATGGGCCATTCAGTAGTTACAGAAGGTGTTCCAAGTGACCTCCATCCATATCAAGGCATGCAGCAGTGCCCGGTACAGTACACCCTAACATGTTGCCACTGACTGCTGTTACATCTGCTTGAACACTTGCTGCAAGATCTTTGATACTGTCTCACAACAGGCCACCCTGGAACTCTGTCCTAAAACCACAGCATCTACTTACAGCTTGAGGTACACTGAGCCAGATCAATCCAGTCCATATTACCCCATCCTATCTCTCCAAGATCCATTTTACTCATAATATTGTCCACCCACCTACGCCTTTATGCATTCCTCTTCTCCACCATTCGTGTTACGTGCCCTGCCCACCTCATCCTCCTTGACTTAATCATTCTAATTACACTTGGAGAATAGTACAAGCTATGAAGCTCCTCATTATGCAATTTTCTCCATCCTCCTGTCACTTCATCCCTCTTCGATCCAAATATTCTCCTAAACACCCTCAGTCTGTTCCTCCCTTAATGTCAAAGACCAAGTTTCACACCCATACAGAACCAGAGTCAAAATTATATTCCTCTATATTAAAATTTTTGCATTTTTTGACAGCAGATGGGAAGACAAAAAGTTATGCACTGAATGGTAGCAAGCATTACCTGAATTCAATCTCCTATTTCCCCTTGAATCAAATTTTGATTTAATTATATTTTTTACTTGTGCTGAATGTTTCAACCATACAGTTTAGGTCACCATCAGGCATCTATGAACATAACTCAAGTAAATATACAGGGTGTCCCAGGAGGAATGGACCAAACTTCGGGAGGGTGTTCCTTATGTTAAAGTATGCCGATATAACCCAAAACACCTATGTCCAAAGTTGAACGGTTACGGAGATAATGGCCCGAGAAAAGTGTGGTCTTCTTGCAGGTCCACGCACTGTGGACAGTCAGCTGTGACTGTTATCTGTTTGTACTTGAGTGTGGTGATGTCACAC